CCTACGCTATGGGAGACGAGGCAAGTTCGGGTTCCAGTGTGAGTCTTGGAGACCCACAGTTGAAGGCTCTTCTCGAGGCCCTTGCGAGTGGCCGATTGGTGGCGAAACCGACGATCGGGCTCAGCGAAGCCCAGCGCTTCAACTGGAGCAACTACAACGTGTGGCGGAAGAAGTTCATTCGAAGGGCAGAGGAGGTGGACCTCTTGCCGTACTGCCGTCCCGACGAGGAGACGATGGAGGGAGTTGCGCCTTCCACGACGGACACGAAGGAGAAAATAGCGGCGTTTAAAAAGCAAAGTAAGCAAGCTTTCTTTCAGCTTTGTCACTCAGTTGCCGATGGAATCGCAGTGGATTTGGACCAGTTTGCAGGGGAGCTGAACTCTGCACAGCGAGCGTGGGAGTACCTGGAGTCCACGTACATGGGCACCAACGACGTCAACAAGAAGGCGATTCAGAAGCAGCTGCTGATGCTGAGCATGGAGAAAGGCGAGAAAATCATCACCTACATCAACAGGGCGAAAAGCTATAACGACGACTTGCGGGTGATGGGAGCCGCGGAGACGGAGCATGAGATGATTGACTATATCATCCAAGGCCTTCCTAAGGAGTACGAATCCGACATCGGCATGTTTACGTACCAACCGCCGGAGAGTTTGATGAAGCTGCAGGAGATTCTCCGAAGGAGGCTCAGACAGATGGACGTGAGAAGAGGGCGTGGTTCATGGACAGCGGATGCACGCGTCACATGACATTCAGGTCAGATTGGATGGAGAATGTGAGGGAGTCGAGTGAGGATTATATACTACAAGGTAACAGTGGGAAGTTACCAGTGACAGGAGAGGGTGACGTGGTGCTGCAGAGTCCGTATAGAGAGGTGAACTTGGTCAGTCAGTCACAGCTTGATGACTTGGGGTGCAAGATATTTTATGACAGAGGTGAGGTTACAGTGTTTGGTCCTGAGTGGGAGAAGTATGCGGATGGTTATTTCAGTGACGGTTTCTATGAGATGAACTTGATAGCGATGAACGACAAGGATGAGATCTATGAGGATCCTGAGCCTACTGAGGATGATAAGAGCAAGGACACGGATGATACGGGAGCGAGTGTGGAGGCAGCAGAGAAGCAGGAAGAGGAGATAGTCGCCATGGAGGCAGCAACAGTGAATGGTAGAGATGGAGATGATGTCAACACTTTTGCAGCAGCGATCGTGGTTGAAGACGAAGCAGTAAATGCGAAGTGTGTGGGAGTTGAAGCTGTGAAAGGGGACATCATGGTGAAAGGATCAAAGGGGAATGCAACTGCAAAGGGGCAAGTGCTTAGGGAGGATGAACGCGTTGAAGGGTATGAGACCCGAGAGGTGTTGAGTGTTGAGATGCCGAGGAGCAGCGAGAGGCTCAAGAAAATGTTTCATGGTTTGGATGTCAAGGCGCTCAACTTCAAGACACGTAAGCAGAGGTTCAAGGTGCAGGAGCTGCAGGGGAGCGTGAAGCCGACTTAGACCCTGCGAAGGCTACAAGGAGCAGGGGAGGAGTGCGAGTGGAGTTCGTGGTTGACGAACCACAGGGGAGATTGTTAGGGTTGGTTCGCCCAACCACGGAACCTAAGGCGAAAGCATCTACGACGGCGGAATGACGGCGAAATGGAAGCGCGTGTGTGAAACGGTGGAAATCGGCCTACGGTGTGGAATAGAGGCTACGACGTGAGAAGCGGGAGAGAAATCAAGAAGAAATGTGCTAGAAGGAGGGAGAGAGAAGAAGAAACATCGAGATTGAAGTTGGCGAGGGGAAATTGTGGTTCGAGCTCGAGGCGTGATCGAGAAGGTTCCAGATTCGGTCTTGAGGAGTGTTCACCGAATTCGGTTCGGTTGCGTCTGCGACTCGGGGTGAAACGAGGCGCACGCGGTTACTTGGGAAACAAGTGAAGTTACGAATCGCATTTTGTGTCTTGCATGACTATAAAACTGCTTGTGCTCATTCTGGAAATCATAACATTGGACAACATTGAGAACATTGAGATTCTGAAAATTGCTGAAGTGTGTATTGACAACTTCAAGCAGAGCTGCGCATATCATTGGATTCGGGAGATCGTGGAGAACACGATAGGCGATAGCAAGTAGACTATTGCCGACTAATGTGTTTACGATCCTAAGAAGTTGCTGACGATCTGCTACGACCACCGCAGCCTGGCCTTGTGCTGCTCGCTGCGCCTGCACTGCTTCCTCGACTCACAGGTGTGTGTGGCTGGCTGGAGGCCAGCGAACCAGCAGTAGTCTAGGCGTGTATGCTGACTTTACCCCTACTTTACCTCTTTTTGAGTCGACTCAATGAGTGACTTCACCTCTCACTTTACAAGGTGTCAGCTCGAGGAGTCTTTTTGTTTTCAACCCACCCCCCGTCTCCCCCTCCCTCCCCCCCCTTCCACCACTCCTATCTGCACCTGGTATGGCCTCTCATCCCTTTTGTGCCCTCTCATCCCTTTTGTGGGCAGGAGGATGTTCCCAAGAGTGAGAGGGACGACTTCAGTGGAGAGCAGAAGAAATTTATGACCCCCTCCTATCTGAACCTGGTACTGTTCTTTTTTTGGGCGGGCAGTATCTAAAGAGATACTGATGCTTTTTTCGGGCGGGCGAGCAGTATCTTAAGAGATACATGTAGTCGCACCTGATGCTTTTTGCCTGTTATTGCCCTCGTGATTTTTTGCCACGTCTCTGCCCACTCCCCCCTGTTCTTGTAAATACTCTCGTTGTCTCTACTCATCTCTACTCATCTCTACTCATCTCTACTAGTCTCTCCGCATCTCTCCTCATCTCTTCTCATTGTGTCTTCGTTTTTATCCTTCCCACTCTGTACAGAAGTGGAGACGACTGCATGTCATCAAGCAAATCTTGTCTTTAAAACTCAATGTGGTCTTTATTGACACTGACGTCATGTGGCTACAGGTGGGTGGCAATGACGTGGATGCAGGTGGGTGGCAATGACGTCATGTGGATGCAGGTGGGTGGCAGTGACGTGGATGCAGGTGGGTGGCAGTGATGTGGATGCAGGTGGGTGGCAGTGACGCCACGTGGATGCAGTTGTGCATGTAATTGCCAGCGCCTTGTGCAATTAGATTCGCTTAAGATGTCTCTCAACATAAGATATATATATATATATATATATATATATATATATAAACAACAACTTCTACTTCACGGTCGATCGTAGCAGCCTGTGACCACTTTTCGGCTGACCACTTATCTGCTGACCTCTTTTGTCTGCTCTGCTCCCCTCCATCAAAACCCCTTTCTGCACCTGCTCTGCTCTGCTCCCCATCTCATCTTATCCAACATCCTAATAGCCTGTGGTCGCTGGTCAGACGAACCCAAAGCAGAAGACGGGGTGTCGTATTAGTAGATTCTGTACTTCCTTCCTTCTCCCCCCTACCACCAGAACCCCCTCCCTCACCTGCTCCCCGTCTCATCCGACATGCTCATAGCATGCGATCGCTGGTCAGCAGACCCCAAGGCGGCAGCAGCCAATGGGGGCTTCTACATGGCTCGTAGCAACGACCGCGTTTTGCAATTCTTTGACTACTGGCTCGATGCACACACCCGGTAAGACTCTCCTCTCCTCCACCCTGTAAGCCCTTTACCTTCTCCTCTTTCGGACCCCAAGGCAGCAGCAGCAGCAGCAGCAGCAGCCAATGGCGGGTTCTACATGGCTCGCAGCAACGACCGTGTGTTGCGATTCTTTGACTACTGGCTCAACGCTCACACCCGGTAAGCCATGTTCACCTTCCCTGGGATTGCCACGTGCAGCGAGGTTGTTTTTGAGACGTCTCAAAATGTTCACCTTCCCTGGGATTCACGACCAGGAATGCGTTCATGCGGGTGCGGCCTGAAGAAGTGAATCTTTGAGACAGTCTATAAGAAAATGTTCTATCTTTTTTTAGAATTCTCAAAACAAGAGATCCTTGGATGCGTTCATGTGGGTGCGCCCCGAAGCAGACCCATACACCCGTGATACTCTCCCATCTCTCCATGCATTATACGCTTCCCCCCATCCCCCTTTTCCCACTTCCCCCCTTCCCCCTTCCACCCTTCCGCCTTCCACCCTTCCCCCTTCCACCCCTTATCAGCTTCCCCGGCATTCACGACCAGGATGCATTCACGCGAGTGCGCCCTGAGGCAGACCCATACACTCGTGACACGCTCCATCTCTTTATCCACTGCTTGTGTTATTCTCCCTTCAATTTACTCCCCTCCCCCATTACAGCTTTCCCGGCATTCACGTCCAGGATGCATTCACGCGAGTGCGCCCCGAGGCAGACCCATACACCCGCGACACCCTCCGTCTCTCCGTCCACTACCTGCCGACGGACCGCTTTGGCAGTTTCTGCCAGATTGGGCGGCTGCTGGGGCGGCTGGCCACTGTTCATGCCAACTGCTGTCTCGGCCTGGAGGGAAAGATGCGAGTGCTGCAGCAGGTGGGTTGACTTGACACAGCAACATCAAACTCGTACTGAAGAGGTTGTGACAGGGGGGTACCTCATCCTCCCTCTAGGTCTCCTGTTTCGTTTCGTCCCTGCATTCAGTTTCCCCCCTCTCCCTTTTCATCCCCCCCCTCTCCTCATCCCGGCGTCCCCTGTCGATTTACCAGTGCCAAATTAGGGGTTCTTGGAGAGATAAACTGCTTGTCTAAAATATTCACCTTGGGTATTGGCCACTGCCAAATAACCAGAAAATCACTGTGGTTGGTGCGATGTGATGATGTGGCGCTGTGATGACGTGGCAGGTCCTAAGTGACGTGGATTGGTTTCGGCAGCTACCATTGCTGGACAGACTCGGAGCGGGGCAGCATGGCTTGGCATGGAGGAAGAATTGCAAGGCTTGAGAAATCATCACTGTTTTTGGAAGAAAATTAGACGAGAGTTTTAGTAGTGAATGGGGATAAAGTGACTGTGTTTTTTATGGGAAGTTACCAGTATGATGTAGCTGACGTAGTTTACTGGGTAAGGGTGCTTCACACATGACCTTGCAGGGAAGCTTCCTGCTTGTACTGGAGAAGCTTCTGCTCGATGCTGCTCAACAGAGGGCCATACCTGAAAGAAACCCATACACAAAATGGTGCAAACTTGTCAAAATGAGCCCAGCTTTCCCGGAATCTTCTAAGGAGCAACAAAAGGATGGAGGAAGAACGGAAGTAAGGCAGGGCAGGAGGAAGCAAGGCGAGAGCGTGTGGTGGTGAAGAAGCGAAAGTAGTGCCACGGGTTGGGAGTTGGGTTTGTTTCGAGAATTCTCAAAAGGGAATAACAGTAGGATGGAAGGACAAGGCCTTGGGACCACTCGCAGACGCTTGGCCTGGGAGAGAGCCTCCCACAGTGCTCACCAGCTTGCACGGCCGTGGTGCAGCTGGCACTGGAGGGCAGCATCAGTGGATCCACCTTCTTACTACCATCACTGCCACCACTAGCAGAGCAACCACCTGCAGCAGCAGCACAGCACAGCACACCTCCACACAATCGCTTGGTCTGGGACAGCCTCTGCGCAGCCGTGGTGCAGCCAGCATCGGAGCGCAGCGCGTGCACTGACAGCTGGGTGACAGGCAGTGCAGCACCACTGCAGCGCAGTGCCTCTGCTCCCTTCTTCCCGTAACTACTACCACCACTACACTACCACCTCTCTACTGAAAAATTTGCCCTACCCCTACCAGCACAGCACACTGCCACTACTCACATCCGCTTGGTCTGGGACAGCCTCTGCACCGCCGTGGTGCAACTGGCATCGGAGCGCAGTGCCTGCACTGACAGCTGGCGGATGCGGTGCTGGGCGGCGGTGAGTTCGTCCTGTTGTAGAGAGGGGCAGAGAGGGGCAGAGAGGGGCAGAGAGGGGCAGAGAGGGGCAGAGAGGGGCAGTGAGGTTCAGAGAGGGGAAGAGAGGGGCAGAGAGGGGCAGAGAGGGGCAGAGAGGGGCAGTGAGGTTCAGAGAGGGGCAGAGAGGGGCAGAGAGGGGCAGTGAGGTTCAGAGAGGGGCAGAGAGGGGCAGAGAGGGGCAGTGAGGTTCAGAGAGGGGTAGAGACGGGTAGACAGGAGCAGAGATAGGTGGCTGTGAGGGTGGAAAAGGGTAGCAAGGGATGGAAGGAAAAGCGTGAGAAGAGCAAGGGATGGAAGGAAAAGCGTGAGAAGAGCAAGGGATGGAAGGAAAAGCGTGAGAAGAGCAAGGGATGGAAGGAAAAGCGTGAGAAGAGCAAGGGATGGAAGGAAAAGCGTGAGAAGAGCAAGGGATGGAAGGAAAAGCGTGAGAAGAGCAAAGGATGGAAGGAAAAGCGTGAGAAGAGCAAGGGATGGAAGGAAAAGCGTGAGAAGAGCAAGGGATGGAAGGAAAAGCGTGAGAAGAGCAAGGGATGGAAGGAAAAGCGTGAGAAGAGCAAGGGATGGAAGGAAAAGCGTGAGAAGAGCAAGGGATGGAAGGAAAAGCGTGAGAAGAGCAAGGGATGGAAGGAAAAGCGTGAGAAGAGCAAGGGATGGAAGGAAAAGCGTGAGAAGAGCAAGGGATGGAAGGAAAAGCGTGAGAAGAGCAAAGGATGGAAGGAAAAGCGTGAGAAGAGCAAGGGATGGAAGGAAAAGCGTGAGAAGAGCAAGGGATGGAAGGAAAAGCGTGAGAAGAGCAAGGGATGGAAGGAAAAGCGTGAGAAGAGCAAGGGATGGAAGGAAAAGCGTGAGAAGAGCAAGGGATGGAAGGAAAAGCGTGAGAAGAGCAAGGGATGGAAGGAAAAGCGTGAGAAGAGCAAAGGATGGAAGGAAAAGCGTGAGAAGAGCAAGGGATGGAAGGAAAAGCGTGAGACCATAGTGGTATCATTATGGTACAAAGATGGTATCAAGGTAATTACCAATCTCCACTATCACTGCTTAGGACCTTGAGCTCCAAGCTCTCTTCAATCAGCACCTTCAAAACTCCCAGAGAAATAGCTGATTGAAACACTTAAGTAAGTTCCGCTTTTCTCACCTTGAGCTTCTTGTTGGCTTCCACTAGCACCTCCATCGAGCTAAACACTTAGCTCATTTTGAAAACACTTATTCAAACGCTTACTCGACCTCCCTTGTCTCACCTTAAGCTTCCTGTTCTCTTCCTCCAAAACTTCCATTGCGTGGCACTTTGTTCATTTCAACAGGCAATTTTCCGAACGCTTATTTAACTTTCCCTTGTCTCACCTTAAGCTTCCTGTTCTCTTCCTCCAGAACTTCCATAGACTTCCCTCCAATCACCTCCACACCCACTCCCCTCCTCTGTCCCACTCCCCCATCCTCCCCACCTCTAGCCCCATCCCCGACCTCCTCCTTCTCCCCATCCTCCTTCCCTGCCCTTTCCTCTCCACCACCTTCCACCGCTCCTGACCCCTCCATCTTCACGCCATCCCCCTGCAGACCCACCACCACCTCCCCATTCTCTTCCCCACTTGCTGAGGTCCCAGCACCAGAAAACGGTGGCACTTCCAGAAGTTGCCTGGGGGAGGTGTTTACTGGTGGCAGCTCCAGGTGCTGTCTGGGGGAGGTGGAGACTGGCAGCTCTTGATCATCCGTGTCTGCCTCTGTGTCCGTGTCTCCTAACCCCGGACCCACCGCCCCTGATGCTCTTACTCCTCCTGCTGCTGCTCCTGTTCCTCCCACCCCTCCTTTCTCTTCTCCTGATAACTCCCCTGTTGCTCCTGCCTTTTCTGCTGATGAGGCTGCTCCTGCTGCTGCTCCTGCTCCTGCTGCTGCTCCTGCTCCTGCTGCTGCACCTGCTGCTGTTGCTGCCCCTTTGCCGCTGTCCATCTGCTCCTGCTGCTGCTCGCTCTGCAGCTTCTGCCATGCGCGCACCTGAAAGCGGAAGCGGAAGGAAAGGACAAGGGGAAAACTGTCGCAACGAGCTTTCGGGTTGACTGGTAGTAATCTACATGGGCTTACGAGGTGTTTTTTAGAATTCTTATTGTTCTCTTGAGAAATATTAGTGCGCTTCTGATGTTTCTTAGTGTGTTTTTGAAAAGTCTTAGTGAGTTTCTCGGAATAAAAAAACAAACTGCAACTTTCGCAGCGAGTTTTTGGGTTGACAAATACTTAAACTCTATGGTCTTTCGAATTATGCACATATTTATAAATATAAAACGTGGAGGAAGAAAAGGGACGACGGGCGCAATATGTTGGAAATAAAGGACGTAACAAAAGTGGGTAAACGAAGAAAGTATGGATACACCACAAACCAGTTGGGTAAAACACCAATAAAACAGCAGGGAAAACGTCATGGCAAAGTCGCAGTCTATTATGGCTTGACTGGCAGAGGTGGTCAGTGAAAAGAAAACGACAAGTCTTCTTTGTTGCGCTCTGTTGCATTATACCAGAGCCCCAGTTGCTCTCACCACCCTTTTTTTTTTTTTTTTTTTTTTTTTTTTAGCCTCTGCTGCACGGACCTTGTTAAAATATATGTTGTGTAGCATGCCAACACATGTGACTGTACACCAATTGTGGTGTACAGCTGGGTTTAGGGTTTAGGGTTGCACTTTGGGGTGCCAATCCACCCAATTGTGGTGGAGCCCCCAAATGCAACCCACTTGGCTTATGGGTGCCTCACTTCCCACAAGTGAGGTCATCTCAAGCCAAGTGGGCCTAGGGTTGCCTCACTTCTACAAACTGTGGGCAACCCAACCCACTTGACCCATGGTTGCCTCACTCCCCCAAGTGAGGTCAACCCAACCTATGGTCACCTTCACCTTTCTCTTCCAAGCCTCTCTTCCAACCATGTATGCTAGGTTTCTCCTCTAATGAAGCTACTTGTTCAATTTGCTACTTTCACAGACCTGAGATTGAGTTTCTGTTGCACTCACCACCTAAGCTACTGCTGCACTCACCTGAGCCTCTGTTGTCCCCACCTGAGTCTCTATTGCCCCTGCTTGAGCCTCTGTTGTCCCCACCTGAGTCTCTATTGCCCCAGCCTGAGCCTCTGTTGTTCCCACCTGAGTGCCTTGTTGCATTCACCTGAGCCTCCCAGCGGGCGGCAATGGCAGAGACCTCCTTGAGCCCCGCTGCCAGCCCTGAATTCTCCGCGAATAGTCTCTCTATCTGCAGCGACTGGGAATCCACCTGAAGGGCGTTCGTGGACGGACGGCAGGAATGGGATGGTTGTGATATAAATGGTACAATCCAGGAAGCGATGAGTACAGAATGTGATGGAAAAAGCGATGCTGGGCCTCTGCAAGCATCCAGCAGCTTCACAAACTGCTGCAGCCAGCTTAGGTCACCGTCTCTACTGCTGTGTCAAACTTTTGAGACGTCTCAAAAGTCAACTTAGGTCACCGTCTCTACTGCTGTGTCAAACCTTTGAGACGTCTCAAAAGTCAACTTAGGTCACCGTCTCTACTGCTGTGTCAAACCTTTGAGACGTCTCAAAAGTCAACTTAGGTCACCGTCTCTACTGCTGTGTCAACTAAAACATCCCCTCGGTTAGAGGAGCACACATTTCAGACAGCCAGCAGTCTCAATCGTTACCCTCAGACAGCTGTCTCAACAGTGCCTTCTCCTTAGCCCGAGCCGAGACACCTGCAGCTTCTCCAACTGCTGCTGCTGCATAACTCAACTGCATGACACACCTTGCCTGAAGGAGCACTCACCTCAGACAGCAGTCTCAGCCGTGCCTTCTCCTTCTTAGCCAGCGACACCTGTAGCTTCTCCAACTGCTGCTGCAGCTGACCCCGCTCCTCCTCTGCTTTCTCCGCGTCCTCCTGCCATGGCCATGGGTGCAGCAGAAGCAGAAGCAGAAAAAGGCAGAAGCGGAACCTTAAGCCTTAGCTTGGTCCTGCATTAAAGCCCCCGACTTCGCCTCTGCTCTCTCCCCCCGTACTCCAGCGGTGAGATGCAGAAATGACTTCCGGAATTGTATTTTTTCTTGAAATCCAAAAGTTTCACTCCGCATGTAGAGCTTTTCTATGACCTGAGAACCCAGCAGACAAGCTGAGTCTGAATGCGCCCAAGCAAAACTCTTGAGAGAGTCCAAAACGAAGACTCAGAACTCGTCCCATTGCATGCGTGCGAGCGTAATAAGAACCAGGCAGCCATTAGAGCGGGGAAGAAAGGAATGGCAAATTACCTTCAATCGTGCAAGCTCTTCAGTAGACTGCCCCACTGCTTCACTTGCCTCTCCTCCCCCTGCTCCCGCCAATTCTCCCCCCCCTGCTCCTGCCCCTGCTCCCACCCCTCCGATCCCTGCTCCTGCCCCTTCTCCTGCCCCTGCTCCTGCTCCTTCTCTTTCTCCTCCACCTCCCACATCTTCACCTTTACCCTCCACCTCCGTTCTCTCATTGTCCCCTACACCCTCTCCACCACTCTCAACCGTAACTCCACCACCAGCTCCACCAGCAGCAGAAGCAGTCGAAGCACCCTCAGAATCGCCCTTAGACTTTTTCAACTCCAATTCTACCTCCTTCCGCACCTCCTCCCGAACCTTCTCAGTCACCTCTTCCCAAATCTGCTTCTCAAACTCGTTCCGAAGCTCCTTCCGAATCTCTTCTTCCATTTCCTGTCGCATCCGAGCTACAGCGGCTGCTTCAATCTCTTTCCGAGCCTCCTCGCTCACAGATATCACTTGAGTTCCCACATCTACCGATCCCACCGATCCTTGACTGCTGGGCTTTAAGACCTCCACAGCATTTCTCCCAGCTTCTGCTCCTAGCTCCTCCCGAACCTCTGCCTTCAACTTCTCCCGAACCTCCGTTTCAAGCTCTTTCCGAACCTTCCCCTCGACGTCCTGCCGAACCTCGGATTCCATTTTCTTCCGAGTCTCAGCCTCAGCTGCTTCCCGGACCTCCGCTTCCAGCTTCTGCTGAACCTCAGCCTCGATGTCGGACCTGAGGTCCCCTTCCACCTCTTGTCGAACCTCCACCTTGGCATGGATCTTGAGCCTCTCCTCTGCTTCCAATGCCTCCTGAAGTTAGAAGAAGAAGAAAAATAAGAAGAAGAAGAAGAAGAAGAAGAAAAAAAAAAGGAACACCATGAAAGCAGTTTACAAGCAAAAAACAAAAGAAAGGAAACGCAGACTCGCCTTGCCTACTCTCCACCCACTTTTCAAATGCACCTACCACCAATCATTCTTCACCCAGAGCTTCCCCCTCCCCCTTGCCCCACCCACCTTCAGCTTTGCCTGCACCACTGCCAGCTGCTTCTCAACAGCCTCCTTGCCTCCAGTAGCCGTTGCCGCCCTCTGCCTCTCCGCTATCAGCTGCTGCCGCATGCCTGTCAGTTCCTGGCGCAGGTCCTGTGTGGTGGGATGAAGGAGAGGGGTTGCGAGAGGGAAAATAGGCATACGGGCATAATAGGAATCTCATGCCGCCCTCTGCCTCTCCGCTATCAACTGCTGCCGCATACCTGTCAGTTCCTGGCGCAGGTCCTGTGTGGTGGGATGAAGGAGAGGGGTTGCGAGAGGGAAAATAGGCATACGGGCATAATAGGCATCTCATGCCGCCCTCTGCCTCTCCGCTATCAACTGCTGCCGCATGCCTGTCAGTTCCTGGCGCAGGTCCTGTGTGGTGGGATGAAGGAGAGGGGTTGCGAGAGGGAAAATAGGCATACGGGCATAATAGGCATCTCATGCCGCCCTCTGCGTCTCAGCTATCAGCTGCTGCCGCATGCCTGTCAGTTCCTGGCGCAGGTCCTGTGGTGGGCAGATAAGTATTGGAACAAGAGGTTAGGTAGGTTCGTGGTGATCTTTGCAATCAAGACCATGCATTGGAGTCACTACAAAGAGGTTTTCAAGTGACCATAGATCTTGCGCACAAACCAAATTCAAGTCAGCCTCTCTCCGCGCCCCTCCCCGCCTGTTCCGTACCTGCAGCTCAGCCTTGGCGGCATCTCTGGCAGCTTCAGCAACCCTGAGCTGGTCAGGGTCGGGAGCAAATGCCGCACCTGCCCAATCCACTGTGGCCTCTGTTGAGTGCTGCAGCGCCCTCAGCTCAGCTGCTAGCGCCGCCGATGCCTCTTCTGCCTGTAATAGGATAGTATGGAAGGAGGAACACAGAGGAAAGAGGGAGAAAATAATTATCCCGCTGAGCTGGCCCAATCCACTGTGGCCTCTGTGGAGTGCTGCAGCGCCCTCAGCTCTGCTACTAATGCGGCCGATGCCTCTTCTGCCTGCAAATGGTGGGAAATGGAGGGAGGAAGGGAAGGGAAGAAAGAAACGGAGTGGGCACACGCCACACCTGCCCGATCCACTATGGCCTCTGTTAAATGCTGCAGTGTTCTCAGCTCTGCTGCTACCACGAGGTACAAACAAACCCCTCAGTATCAATGATGGACCGCATGCAAGTTTTGAGTCGACTCAAAACTCGACTTATCACACACGTTCTCAGCTCTGCTGCTACCACGAGGTACAAACCCCTCCTCATATCAACGATGGACCGCATGCGACAGACAGACCATCCATGCTACTAACCAGCAGCTCTCTACTGCTCCCCATTGCCAATGCCCGCTGTTACCTTGCACAGAGGCGCTCCTATTGAGCTCGCTCTAGTTACCTTGACATTGCACTGAGCTCCCTCTAGTTACCTTGCATTGCACTGATCTCCCTCTAGTTACCTTGACATTGCACTGAGCTCCCTCTAGTTACCTTGCATTGCACTGAGCTCCCTCTAGTTACCTTGCATTGCACTGAGCTCCCTCTAGTTACCTTGACATTGCACTGAGCTCCCTCTAGTTACCTTGACATTGCTCTGAGCTCCCTCTAGTTAACTTGACATTGCACTGAGCTCCCTCTAGTTACCTTGACATTGCACTGAGCTCGCTCTAGTTACCTTGCATTGCACTGAGCTCCCTCTAGTTACCTTGCATTGCACTGAGCTCCCTCTAGTTACCTTGACATTGCACTGAGCTCCCTCTAGTTACCTTGACATTGCACTGAGCTACCTCTAGTTACCTTGCATTGCACTGAGCTCCCTCTAGTTACCTTGACATTGCACTGAGCTCCCTCTAGTTACCTTGACATTGCACTGAGCTCCCTCTAGTTACCTTGACATTGCACTGAGCTCCCTCTAGTTACCTTGACATTGCACTGAGCTCCCTCTAGTTACCTTGCATTGCACTGATCTCCCTCTAGTTACCTTGACATTGCACTGAGCTCCCTCTAGTTACCTTGCATTGCACTGAGCTCCCTCTAGTTACCTTGCATTGCACTGAGCTCCCTCTAGTTACCTTGACATTGCACTGAGCTCCCTCTAGTTACCTTGACATTGCTCTGAGCTCCCTCTAGTTACCTTGACATTGCACTGAGCTCCCTCTAGTTACCTTGCATTGCACTGAGCTCCCTCTAGTTACCTTGACATTGCACTGAGCTCCCTCTAGTTACCTTGACATTGCACTGAGCTCCCTCTAGTTACCTTGACATTGCACTGAGCTCGCTCTAGTTACCTTGACATTGCACTGAGCTCCCTCTAGTTACCTTGCATTGCACTGAGCTCCCTCTAGTTACCTTGACATTGCACTGAGCTCCCTCTAGTTACCTTGCATTGCTCCTCCTCTGCCTCCTGAAGTCGTCTCTTCAGCACCCGCACCTGTGATGCCAGGTCCTCCTGCTCCAAAGAGGGGAGGGAGGGAGTGGAAGACGAGGGAAGGGGAGGCACGGAGCCACAGGTAAGGGAGGTAACAACAGCATCAGCCCTGAAGTCGTCTCTTCAGCACCCGCACCTGCGATGCAAGGTCCTCCTGCTCCAAAAAGAAGGGGAGGTGTGGGGAAAGGGGGAGAGCAGATGAGACCGAGACAATAGGGAACAGTAGGAGGCAACAACAGCAGCAAGTGCCCTTAGACGCTTACCCAATTGCCCCCTGCATAACATGCAGTACCAAGCCCATCCACTCCTTGTAGGAGCATCTTACACTTTTGAGTCGACTCAAAAGGTGACTTTGACTTTTGAGTCGACTCAGTTGCCCCCTGCATAACATGCAGTACCAAGCCCATCCACTCCTTGTAGGAGCATCTTACACTTTTGAGTCGACTCAAAAGGTGACTTTGACTTTTGAGTCGACTCAGTTGCCCCCTGCATAACATGCAGTACCAAGCCCATCCACTCCTTGTACGAGCATCTTACACTCCTTGGAGAGAGGAGGCTGGAGTATGGCACCTGTTCCGAGCACAGCAGCACTACCTACCTACATTGCACTAGCGAATGGAAAAGATCCAATAACGATCAAAGGATTAAACATCAACAAAAAAGAACGAAAGAAAGAAAGAGTACCTTGGCAAGCACAGCCGCGTGTAAACAGGTTATTTTTTAGGCGTTGTTTACACGTCTCAAAAATAGCCTGTTTACAATACAAGAAAGAGTACCTTGGCAAGCACAGCCGCATCCCTCTCAATGCCTGCAGCTTCCACTGCCTTGCGCAGCGCTGCTGCCTGCTCCACCGACTGAGGCATGGGGACGGGGATGGTGGGAGGGAGGGCCACACAGCACAGGGACGACGGATGGGGATTCAGTTCAGGACGGGGGGAGGAAAGGCACGAGAAAAGGGGAGACGGATGAGGATGGGGGAAGGAAGGCAAGAGAGTAAGGAGAAAAGATGCAGGGCATTGGCGCGTTGTCCCTGCAATGCATCGACTGCATGCACTGCCTGATCGCCTTTGCTGCCTGCAATGGCCTCTGGTTTGATCAATAGACAGGTGGAAGAGGTTAGGCAAGGCATGACCGGCCACGCACCTGGTTGGAGGGCGCATTGTTCTGCTCCTCTGCTGCCTGCAGAGCCGCCTGCGCCTGAGCCAGCTGCGAGTTGGTGAGGTGCAGCTGAGACGCGAACACGCCTAGTCCCACTGCTGCCTCGGCTAAACAGTGCTATCTGGTGAAAGTAAATTATCAGCCACGCACCTGGTTGGAGTGCGCATTGTTCTGCTCCTCTGCTGCCTGCAGAGCCGCCTGCGCCTGAGCCAGCTGCGAGTTGGTGAGGTGCAGCTGAGACGCGAACGCGTCCACCTGCTTCTTCAACAGCGTCCTGTCTGATTCCAGCCGCCGCACCTGGGAGGATGTCATGTGCGGAGGGGACGGGAGAGGAGATGAAGGGCGGGGGAGGGGCAGCAGCGAGAATGGGTGCAGCTGAGACGTGAACGCGTCCACCTGCTTCTTCAGGAGCGCCCTGTCCGACTCCAGGCGCCGCACCTGAGAGGTTGTTAGGAGGGGTGGGGAGGAAAAGCGAGCACGCGAATGGGGGGACAGGGAGAGGAGGGGGGCAGAAGGGAGGATGGGAGCAGCTGAGATGCGAACCCGTCCACCTGCTTCTTCAGGACTGCCCTGTCTGATTCCAGGCGCCTCACCTGAGGGGTTGTGCGTAGGGAGGAAGGAAGGGGAGGGGAGGGAAAGGGAGGGGAGGGAAGGGGAGGGGAAGGGAGGGACAGGAGAAGAGCGGGAATGAGAGGGGAGGGGAGTGTGCATGGGAAGATGGTGACAAAGAGGCTGTACGACAAGTAGAGGAATAGTCGCTCAAAGAGAATGGACACTGGCAATTTTCTTCATGCGAATAAACAAATGAATCAGACCTGGCTGGTTGCCTGATCACTTAATTCAAAGAGATATGTTACTCCAGCGATCAAAGATATGTTACCATACAACGAAACCAGCACATACGTTAGTCAAGAGATCAGAGATACATGACCACATTACCAGCACCACTCACATCACATCCTCCATCAGTCCAGCACATCACATCTGTGCTCCTGAGCTTCCAGAGCAGCGCTCGCCTTTAAGTCAAACTCACAAGTCACCTCTGTTACCACGTTACCAGCAGCACTCACATCCTCCATCAGTCCAGCGCATCTGTGCTCCTGCGCCTCCAGAGCAGCCCTCGCCCTCGCTGCCTCCAGCCGTGCACTGCGCAGATCCGCCTGGAGACGCACAGCCAGAGAGAGGGAGAGACGGAGAGATTGGAATGGGGGAAACCAGGCTAACATGCAGCGATGCTTGTCGAGCGCTGGCCACTGTTCTCGCTACCTCCAGCCGTGCACTGCGCAGGTCCGCCTGGAGCCACACAGACAGCCGAGAGACGGAGAAAACTTCTTCTGAAATACATCATTATCCAGGCCAGAACGTCTTCACTGTGCTTTTGCCAAGCCTGCAGCAGTGCCTGAGAAGGAATGAGGTGAGCGGTCTTACCTCCAGCCCTTCAATCCGCTCCCACAAGGCGTTGGCGTCCTGCATCGCCACAGCTCCGGACCCAACCTGCTGCTGCTGCTGCTGCTGAAGGTGCTCCTGCTGCTGTTGCTGTTGCTGCTGTTGCTGTTGCTGTTGCTGTTGTTGGTACTGCCGTTGGTGCTCCTGCTGCTGGCTCTGCTGCAATTGCTGCTGGTTCACATATTGGTACCTCAGCTGATTGGAATCCTGCTGCTGCTGCACCTGCTGCTCCACCTGCTGTGCCTGCACCTGCTGGCCGTACGCACTCTGGAACGGGGACACGGGTGCAGCCATGCTAGGGTTTGCACCTCCCACCCCGCCTCCCTCAACCCTCCCGACCATACCGTAGTGCTGACCAGCGGAGCCTGCTGCAAATCCCTGCGAGTTAGGGTAACCCGAGGAGCCCTGGGAATAGCCGGACGGTCCATAGGGATTGCCGGAGGAGCTTTGGAGGTTGGCCAGAGGTCGATTCAGATCACTCTGGTATCGAGAAGCTCCCCGATCCATGGCTGAGAACTGATGAGAATTTGCAAAGGGGGCTGAAAACTGGCGACACCTCTCGGAGAGTCGTCAAAGTGCACCTACTATGACGACACGTTGTCTAGTTATCGACTCAGTTTGGAATGTCAAAGGTCTCTGCTGGTACTGGTTCAGCTGTATCCTGAATATCAGTATCCCATACAATCTAGTTTCTGTTGCCTCCAGAGTTCCTAATTCCGGAAGTTTCGCGACACTAGCTCATTTGTGTCAATTGAATGTCAGCTTCACTGACAATGCTAAAATACTCAGTCATGTCTTCAACCTAAAAATAAACGTTTCTGTGACGGAGCAACGAGCTTTTCGGGCAGTTCATTCCCGAGGTGTCAGAAATCTGGCTGTTGCTGATGGATCAGAGCGGAAGCCATGGCGTTTTCGGGAAAAAGCACGTGACTCATAATTGTCATACCCTGTAAAAGCCGACTCATTTCTCCGCAAGCCGTCTGAAGCATGCTGCTGGGTCCTAACACCAGATTTGCGACGCGGCGACCCCAACCAGATGGTTCGTTTCAGGTCTGCTCCGTCCCTGCGACAGAGTAGCCGTCGCCAACTCATCCCCGCAGATCTGCTCTCGGGGTCAGGTCAGGGTGAGTCATAGAGAGGTGGAATTCGGCGACAACAGTTTTTGAATGGGTACCGTAACAGGTGAGTGGTTTCCAGAAGTAGTCAGATCGGTGACCTGACCCCTCGTTGGTAATTGGATCTGTTCAGTTGGGTTCGGTTCGGATGGCAGGCTCTCCAGTTCCACCCAATCAGAGCATGTCCCAGCTTTCCCGCCTCTTTCTCCAGTAATATCACTTCGTTTGTAATCTTCTGTTTGCTCTGCCATGAACACAAATCCATCGCCTTCAACGGTCATGTTTTGTCCACCCTACATCGGTGCTGTGAATCAGCAACAGCCTGATCGGTTCTGCCTCTCTCGCTCCGACGAGTCCTGGGTTTCTTATTTAATCTGATGGCTGCGTCAGAGGTGACACGTGTTTCGAGCTGGATTTTTCCTGAAATTGCACGAGTCACTTAGAAGCGTTTTGATGTTACAGATGTTACCACGCGGAGTGTTTTCAGGTCTCAAAAGGCAATTAGCTAAGTGAACGATCAGCTCGCGATGGCTAAAAGAAGCGATCGCGCCGGCAACAGCAGGCTTCTATCTCTCCCCGACGAGCTCCTCCAAATCATTCTCGGCCTCGCAGTTCACCCATCCGATCGCCGCAACGTCGCTCTCTCCTGCTCCCGCCTCCGCCGCCTCTCTCGACGCACGCCGCACGCGCTCCGCCTCGAGTACTACTCTTTGCGTCGAAGGGTTGTGAATCTGCGACAATGGCTGAAAGCGTTTGACGATTATTCAAGGGTATTCACCCACATAACGGATCTGACCGTGGAGATTTCATACGGGCTCGGGAATTAGCTGATGGCGGGGATCGCAGCGGGTTGCCCGAAATTGGAAAAGCTGAAATTGGTGTGGGGCTGGAATGGTGTCGACGTCAACGATCGAGCGTGGCGAAATCTCACAAAGAACTGCCCGTAAGTAGACGGTTCCGTTTTTCCTCTTGGTCGTCGTCGCTCACGGTGGGAAGGCATCTCAAGAAAGGAAAGCTCGCGAAGCTCTGCCCGTAAACAGACATTTCCGTTACCCTTCTCTCCCACGGAACCTTGTGGCCAGTCTATTCATCCACATCCATCCATCCATCCATGCATGCATGCATGCGTCCGTGCATGCATGCATCCATCCATCCATCCATCCATCCATCCATCCATCCATCCATCCATCCATCCATCCATCCATCCATCCATCCATCCATCCATCCATCCATCCATCCATCCATCCATCCATCCATCCATCCATCCATCCATCCATCCATCCGTCCGTCCGTCCGTCCGTCCGTCCTTCACCTCATCCTCTCCCCTCACCCCTCCCTCTTCAGCCCTCCCTCTGCACACCTCTCTCTTAACCCCTCGACGCCCGCCCCTTTAACTTTCCTTCAGGCTCTTGACCTCACTGGAGCTAAACTCACGCTATCAGCGCTCCTACATACGGCAGCCGCCACTCCCCCCCCTGCACCTATTCCCCTCACTGCAGTCCCTCTCTCTCCTCTACGTTCCCTCCGACTTACTCCCCATTACCCGCTGCTCCTCCCTCACCTCCCTCATTCTCTGGAGCCCTGAGTCCTCCTCTCTCTCCCTGAGCCCTGAGTGCTCCTGCCTTCTCCTCCTCCCCCCTTGCCTCCTCATCCGCCTCTTCAGTTGCGTCCTCCCCCCCATCCTCTCTCCGCACGTCCCTCACGTCCCTCACCATTCACTCCCCAACTTCCGGGCTCCCTCGCATCCCTCGCCCTCTTTCCTTCCCTCTCCTCCCTCTCCCTCCACTGCTGCACCATTGATCCAAACGAGCTTCACTCCTTCTCACGCTCCCTCCACTCCCTCTCACGCTCCCTCCACTCACTCACCCACCTCACCATCCACTCCTTCCCACTCGTCTCCTCCCGCTCCCTCATCCCCATCCTCCAAGCCAACCCTGCTCTCTCCTCCCTCACCTCCACGAAACCACCTACCGTCTGTTCGGAGCACAGGGCCTCCGTTCCCTCCTCTCTCACTCCTCCTCCCAGCTCCACTCCCTCCACCTCGCCGGCCTACCCTGCGTCCGCCCGGGCCTGCTTGCAGACTGCAGGGGTCTGAGCTCGCTGAGTGTGGAAGCGGTGATAGATCCTCCGGGGCGGCAATTTCCGCGGGATGTGTCTCTGGACGGCCTTGTGAGTATGCTCGAGCGGGTGGAGCGGATCGTGGTTGGGGGGGGACGGGCAGGAGGGGAGGCAGGACGGGAGGCAGGAGGGGAGGTTGGAACGGAAGGGTGGGAGAAAGGAAATGCGGGTGGTTCTGCAGCCGCAGCAGCTGCTGTGGCGTCACGGATAGCATGCAGAGCAGCAGCAGGGGGCAGTGGGAGATACGTGGACTTTCGCACAGAGGCAGTGGCGGCTCAGGCAGACAAGTTCGTGGCAACACAAAGCGCAATCAATTTCTTTGATGCTGCTGAAGAAGCCATTCGGATCGCCCAATCTGACGCCAGCTGGGCGGCGCGTGCAGAGGGAGAGATCGCGGTGGCACAGATTGCTGCCTGCCTCGAGAATATCAGGTCTGGGATTTCGGCATGCCGGTCATTTTGCCTGGCGGTTCGCGAGTCGAAGGCGGCTTTTCAGTGGGAGGAAAGGCTGATGAGGGCATTCGTTGCTACTCCTGCTCCTGCTGCTGCTGACACCAACGCCGCTAATGCTGCTGGCCAGGCCGCAGGATTTTTTTATACAGATGCAAATTTTGGACAAGAGGACATGGATGGGGAGGAGGAAGGGGATAATATCAGGGGCATGGATGGCATTCTGGCCGTTGATGGCTTGCCTGAGAGTGCGCCAGGTAGGGTGCGGTCCGGTGCGGTGGAGACACGTGAAGAGGTGTTGGGCATGGTGAGGCCACTGACGGAGGAGCTGAGGGAGCAGCATATGGCCGTGCGTGAAAGCTTGCATTTTCTGCGCCATCTGAACTCTTCCTTGGGTGCGGCCACTCTGCCGCAACCAGTGCTGGGTGCGGCAGCAGGGGAGGCAGCAGCAGGGGAGGCGGCAGTTCCCGCGCACGTATTCTGCCCTCGCTTAGATTCCTTGACCCTCCAGGGGCTCTATTTCTCCCCCACTCCCTTTGTCTCGTGGCTGCCTACAACACCTCCCTCTGCATCTCCTCTCATGTATCTCTCCTCCCTCCCACCTTCCACTTCTTGCCACTCATCTTCCTCCTCCGCCTCTTCTATCTTCTCCCCTTCCCCTGGCCCAAGCCCAAGCATTCAGCCAATGTCCTTTCAGTCCATTGCTCGAGCTGCTGTTTTTGGACAGCTCAAACGGCTGGTCCTGGTGCAGTGCTTGGGGTTGGAGGTGCAGGAGTGGATCCAAATGCTTGCCGCATGTGTCAGGTTGAAGGAACTAAAGGTGCAGCAAAATGACAAATTTTCAGATGTAGTAGTGGCAGGAAGCAGACTGGGAACACTCGCTAGCTTGACGGTGGTTATGTGTGATAGGATAACAGCAACAGTTATAGGAGAGGCTCGTTATGTGTGATAGGATAACAGCAACAGTTATAGGAGAGGCTCTTGGAAGCTTCCCAAGATTGCGGTACTTGAAGGTGGAAGCGGGGAAGGTCTCGGAAAGGGCTCGGAGAGAGTTGCTTCGTGCTGGTGTGGTTGTGAGGGGGGTGTGAGATGAATGCT